AGAATTTCAGGTGGTCCTGCGCCTTCAGCATCCATGCAGAGAGAAGGCTGAGCGGGGTTGGGAACCCCACCTGATGGAGAAGAGAGATTGCTGGGAGGGACACTGTGGTGGCCACTATGACACGAGACAATCACACCTTCTGGGGTGAAAGGGAAAGAAGACAAGGGAGGGACACAACATTGGGGCCCCTAGGTCGCCTGCCAGGCTTGCTCTCCCTCCACGGCCACCCTGGGGTCCTGGGGGTGTTGGGCTTCAGTTATGGTGATTAGGCTGAAGGGACTCAATATAAAGGGTCCTCCACCTCCTCACTAGGTTTCAAACGCAGCCCCTATAAGTCCACCCTCTGAGTTTCTGGAACTCAGCTGGAAGAATACATGATCAGGCCAGACCCAGAGCCCAAGCCAAACACGACAGGGGTCACGAGGGGTTGTAACCCCGAGCTCAGTGATTGGGGAGTCCTTGCAAATCTGCAGAAATCCCTGTTCTGCCTCATTCCTGGGAGAAACCCCAGATCTCCTCCTGCTCTGTCTGTTCTTCTCTTGAGGCTATTGTCCTGGAGGGATGCAGAGTCCTTGAACCCGGCCCTCCAAACGTACATAAGTGGCCTGTTCAATAAAACAAATTATGCACTTTTTCACCTTTGCCAGGTTTTTGATTCCAGAAAGCCTGCGGGACTCTTTCTCACAGTCTCCTGTGCCCCTACCACTAGGTGGTCCTCTGCTCATGGAAACACGATTTCCCACAACTGCACCCTGCCTCCCAGTTGGTCAGAGGGGAGTGTCCCACAAAGACACAGGTGTTTGTGAGGATCCTGTCCCCCAGCAGAAAGCCTACTCCTGGAGCCACGGACAGGGAGCTGGCCTCCTGAGCCACTCAGTTCTAATTGCAAGCCTAAACTGGGGACCCTGAACATAGCTGAATGACTTTCTGAGTCACCTGGACTGGAGGGGCCTGATTTTTCTTTCCAGGAATGGATGTAGTGCAGCCTCCATTTTCAGGGCTGACATTGACTATGGATCTAGTCCCCCCCACTGCACCGCAGGAAGGAGAGGCCCTTCCATCCCACAGCTTGGAAACCCAGCCCAGGGGAGTTCTGAAGCAGTGCATCGCTGCCAGGTCCAGCATCCCTGCAGAGTGGTCTCTGCCCCTGTATGAGCCCCTTCCATGCACCTTTCCTGCCCCAACACGACCACACCCCAGGCTGTGCCAGAACTGTGGGGCTCTGCGTGTCCAGGGCATGCAGGTGGGACCTGAGCCAGGTGTCCCCTGGGCCTCAAGGGGGAGAGGTCTGCCTCTGCATCAGTGGAAGGTGACCCCACATGGCTGGCAGGACACTCTCAATATGGACCTCCAGGAGCCCTGGGAGCAGTTTCCCTGCAGGTGTTAGGAGCCATCATCAGGAGGGCAGGCCCCTCTTTGTGCAGACCATCTCGCAGTGCTGGGCCCACGTGCTGACCACAGAAATCTACATGCCCCAGGATACCCCAGGAAACCTCACAAATTTGTCACTTGGTGACCTGGGTACCACAGGCTTCTTGGCCATCCCATGAGGGTGGTCCTTGCAGCCATGGTCTCCAGGTGCTCCCGTTAAGAAATCCCCCTGGGTTTCTGTGGTCACAGAGCCCACAGCA